GCTATTTGCATTTATCGAAAATCATCGATGTATATTTGCCTTTATCACCATTATACCTTCAGCAATTGCTCTCAGTATTTGAAAAAAATCTGTAATAAAAATTTAAAATTAATTTTTAAATTTTTACAAAAAATATCGAATCTTTTTCTAACTTTTACAATAAAAATTGAAGTATATAAGTTAATATACAACAATCTGAAGGATAAAAGTTTTGAATTTTATGGAATAATCTTTATCGTCAAATTATTTCGATGTATCGTTTTAAAATGTACAACAAATAAATAATACAACGATTCTTTTATGTAACTTCGTGCATAGTAATGAATTTTCAAAGTTTAATACAGTTCATAGTTTCAATGAATCCAATAATGTAAATGAAATGCTGTAAATTATTTAACATATTTTTAAAAACTGATTTTTAACTAAAAATATTTCAAGACAATATTAATTACAAATATAAATTTAAAAATGAAACTTTAAAATTTTCATTTAAACTCATATGAAGTTTTTTTTTTGGTCAAAACAAGTCGTGATCAGTCATTAATGTGGAATTTACCTAATTTATATTGACATATATATGTAAAATTTAATTAATTTGGATTCCCTTATCTAAAATAGTTTCTGCCTGAGAATCTCAAAAATACTTCACTGAGAAGCGTGTATTTCATCTAAAGTAATATTTTTGACATAAAAAATACTAGATCATTAACTACAAAATTAGTAATTACAAAAATATTTGTTTGGAAAATTTCTTTCATGCCAACTTCATTTCCAAAAAAAGAAGTATTTCAAAACTGAAAGTACGATCTTCTGAACTGAGTGATGGACTATCAGTATCTTAAATCAAATTATTAAAGTCATCGAAAAATCAATACTTTTACATTTAACAAATTAAACTATTCTTGCATTTTAACTTGAATTTTCTTTTCCTTTTATCGCTTTATCTGCTGTTTCAAAACATCTAAATTTTGTAGACAAAGAAACTTATATATAATTACGTAGAAAATAATATTTGGCAATTACAAATACTTTTGAATGATAACTAAAATACTTGAGATTTTCATTGATAATTTTCTCTACTCTTCAATAGTTATTCTTCAAACAAACTAGTACACGGATTTATGTAAGCAGTTTGGAAAAGCAATTTTCAGGTTATAGAAGTTCGTGGCTTTTATATTTTGAAGAAAGTCCTAACAAGTGAATTTACAATAAGATTCAATGCAGAAGTACCAAACAAAATACTGCAGAATATGTATTCATTCGTATATTGCAGAAATAGGGCACAAAAGTACAAAAAGTTTTCTTAATTTTTAATAATAATAAATAAAAATAATGAATTTTTGTTGCATTTATTATCATGAAAATCTGATTTATTTTTATGAAACAGATTTTTCAAATATTTCATCTTTTATCACTCAAAACTATAAAGTTCCCTTTCTCATGTGCAAGACAAATTTAGAAATGCATTTATACTTTCATTTTAAAATAATAAAATATTAAGATAACTGCTGTCACATTTTATTTATTTTTGATAAATTTTAATAGTAGTTAAAAATGATAAAACTTCCATTTAGCTAAAAGTAGCAAAAACTTCAAGTAATAATTTCTTTCTTACTCTTAAGGAAATTTAATGCGAAATAAAATGTATTAAAGTCTCTTTTGGTGACTTTTAGTTTCCATATATTTAAAATGGAGCCATCATAGAATATGATATTTCCCTTTTTTAAACAAAAAATGTAATTTAAATTAGAAATAATGGAAAGACTCATGCAACTCAAATATCCTTAAGTGAATAAATTCTTTTCATGATTTTGTTGATCCTCTAAACCAAATAACTAAAGTATCTGTCAGTAAACTAAATAAAACTGTGAAATTTCATAATTATGATCAGATAAGTATGAGTAGACTTTACATATTTTATTTATTCTTTGAAGCAAAATTTAAAAACATTATATATTAGTTTATGTATTTTTTGAGGAGGCGGCGTTTTCTATAATGACTTGATATTTGGTGTTAAATATCTAATTTAATAATGAATTCAAAACTAAAAAAATATTCATGCTAATTGCAGTATTATACTTATTAAGATGGAAATATAATATATTAAAATCGATTTTTTCAGAAATTTTAAAAAATCACTAAAGGAATGAATTTAAGGATAAACAAGAAAATTTAAAGTATCTGAAAAATCATCCGTAATGTTGCTTTCGAATATTTAATTTTTCCTTTATAATAGTAAAAACTGACTTTTAAAAAGACATTTTCAAAAATAAGTAAGTAAAAAAAATAGTTGTGTAATTCTATTTGAAAGTATTATTCTGGGGTTTTTTGTATGCCTGTTTTGTTTTCTACAGTTTTTATACAGATTGAGAAGATATGAAATTATATTTTTCATAATTGTTTTTCAATAAAAAGAAAAGTTAAGTAAAGCAACACCAGAAAAATATTTCTTTAAAATTACCATTCTCTATGGCAATGACATGTTGGAAAAAACTTATTCTGTTTAATCAAACCAAGATATACAGTATTTAAACCATTCATTTGGTAATTTTTGCTTTCATATGGAAATGGTTGACCGGAAATTTTGGTTTTCAAAATTAAAATTCTTAGTACCACTAATTTAGCAAAAACTTCAGAAAAAAGTAAATTTAACCTAAGAAATGGTTCTTGGTTCCTACTCTAAGATATCATAATAAAATTTGCAAATTTTATCACACATTATAAAGTTATATTTTTTGCAAATGTTAACAAAATCAGTATCAAAGCACTTCTGCAAAAAATTACCTAGTTTATTTTTTTAATGTTTTTTTAAAGAGCCGGAAAGATGGTAAATCATATTCTGGAAGTTTTGACTTTAATTTTTCTAATGAACACTAAATAGATTAAACACAAAAACATTACTGTCTTGTGAGACTAAGTTTATTACAGTTTTAAGGAACATACACTGTATAGGGTACCGTAATACGTGCAACATCCGTAAAATCAAATTTTATTGTAAACTTTTATATTGTAAACAGAAATTTATTCAGTTACAGTGATTCAGCGACTTGACAACAAATATTACGGTAAAAATTGCGATTTATCAGATTTTTTGTTTCTCAAAAAGTAAAATTATTTTTCAGTTTAAAGTTCGGGCGCTCCTTGTGCCTCTATTCCTTACCGCAATTTTATTTGGAAATATTTACAGTGTCACAAGGCACATAACACAGCCTTCACACGGCGCATAATTTTTACAAAAATAATGAAAATATACTTCTGCTTTTCTCTATTCCTTTTAAGTATTCCATCTCAACGTTAAATAATTTATTTATTCTAATACTTAAATTTCTGGTATTCATTTTCCTAGTTAATGGTCATTTGTGGAATATCTATAAATCAGAACAATTTTTCTTGTCTTAAATAGTTTTTTCCATTTCTTCTCAGTTTAATTTAATTTCTTAATTTATTTATTTGTTTTACTTTTAAGCTTTTGCTTTTTAAACGTATGATGTCCAAATAATAAAAATACGTTTAAAAAATAATTCTCTAAAATAAATTTTATAATTTTCTGGTGATCGTCTTAGATTTTTTTCTTAATTTTATTTCTTTAAATAATTATTAAGCATCTTATGATTAACAATGATTGAATGATTTCGAATATGTTTTAGCAAAATTGGTGATAAAGTGGCAGTTTGAAAATAATGTTCAAAATTATAACGCGAAATAAAAAAAACATGTTACTGTTACGAATTTTGTTTTATCCTAAGAGATGTTGGTAGTTTTCTTATAGAATACTTGAAGTAAAACTCTAGATGTGTGTAAAGTTAATAAAATTTAGGAAAATGATACTACGTTTTGCTTACTACACAATAAATATTCTTTGATAAGTTTATACTTGATATACTATTCGCTATGTTCCAATAATCACCCATTTTATAAAAGTTAGTAAAATGTTATTATCCTCATACTAACACAATAAATACAATTGTAATATAAAAAAGAAATGAATATATCTTCGTTTTCTATTCTGAAATTCATGAGTAGTTGTACTTAACAACAAATCATTTAACAAAGTCACTCGACCTTAAAACCATCAGTTTTTTCAGATTTAGTTTCCTAACAAAATACTTCTTTTCTAATTTTTATAAAACATTCAAGAGATGTTTTACTAATATTTTGGTTATTTTTTTCAATTTAAGAAGGGATGCAATACAAAAAAATTTAGAATGCATTATTAAATGTCTTTACATACAGGTTAAAAAATTTAGTAAAATTGCCGTACTGTATCATAACGAAATTTTTGATAAGAAAAAATATTAAATCTGGTAATAAAACCAAACTATAAACCTTTCATAGGGCAATAGTTTCCATTCCAATGGAAACGACTTCTACTCATATGGTAATGGTTTCCATTCATGTGGAAACGGTTTCCATTCATATGGTAACGGTTTACCGGAATGTAACGACATTTTGTATTTCAAAATTATTAACACACATTCAGAAAAAAGAAATACTAAAAAGTGAACTAATCAAATAATTTGTTCTTATGGCAAGCTCCAAGGTATAATAAAATCATCGAATGTATCAAATTTTCTTGCATATTATAAAAAAATAACAGTATTTTATTGTTGATTTTACCAAAAGTCACTACTAAAAAGCTTCGCAAAAATTACTGTATTTTTTGGTGTTCCCATAAAGCCAGAAACACGGTAAATTTTACCATATTTTGGTGGTTTTACAAAGAAAAATAACTTTTAAATCTAATTTCTACTTTTAATTCAATTTATTTAAATTTTTCAATCGTCTTAATGTTCATGTCTTCATACTTCACTTTTGCTTCGTAAATCTTGAAGAACAGTGTTTAATAGTTTTTTTTAAATCCGAAGAACGGCTTCGCAAAATTTCCTGTTCTCTGAAAATTGAATATGTTTTTTCATTTTATACTTTATCTTGGAGATCCTAAAAAAATTAAAATTTGGATGTGAAATTTTAAAAAAAAACTTTAATAGAATTCTACGTACCTAACAGGCAAAAGAATACGAAAATATATCCAAGACTGTAATAGTTCATTATCAGACCTCTTCCAACTTTCTCTTTAGTTATTTAAATTATAATTTAAATAAATTTGTGCAGACATTTTTTTAAACAAAGTTCAGATTCAAATTTGAAAGCAGTGTACTAATTTCAAAAATGATAGCAATGATGTGAAAAAGTTTTTTCTACTATCAGTTGCGTTAATTAACAATAATATGACTAAGTTTATGATTTTATATCAATAGGCAATATGGTATTGATAGAGGATATCGACTTCAGAAAACACCATCCAAACGAAGACGCGAAGCGAGAAATGAGATTATAAACGGGCGCTTAGCGGCATTCATGCATCTGGCGCGCGCTTTCCAAGCATGCGCCTGGACACGCCTGGACATGCGCCATAGGCCAGCACGTGGCGCGCGGAGGCGAGAAATCACATTATGCTCAGAGTCTCTTGTTTTTACCCTGTTTTCGTTATATTCCAGACGCGGCCTGAGCCGATGAGCTGTATATGGGAGAAAATGTTATTTGCTTGAATTCACTTGGGTTACAAGTTATTTGAATTTCAATGTTTATATTTTTTTTTCGTTCTTTTGTTTTATACTTTTTTCTAACATAATTTATTCTTTTAAGTTTTCACACTTTTTGTTTTCTAAAATCCTATAAGATGCTCAGTAACTTGTACGGGTATGGTTAGATAATATTTTATAATAATAATAATAATAATAAATAGGAATTAGTAGAGGGTTTTGACTTTTTTCTTCTTTTTATACGAAACTACTCTACGATGTAGTTTTTATTTTAGATTGTACAGTCACGTTTGGAAATAAATTGCTAGTAAACCACTTTAATCCTATTTTTGCCAAATGCGTTGCGACATTATATATAAATTACTTAAAACGTACGGTTGTAATTAATGAATAAATTAGACTACTTTTAAGCACGGTAATACAAACAAAATTCTTAAAAAAATAATAACTTGTAAATAAGTTACTTGCATTGAAAAAGACATTGTTCACCAATTTTGATCATATTTATTATATATATATATATATATATATATATATATATATATATATATATATATATATATATATATATATATATATATATATATATATATATATATATATATATATATATATATATATATATATATATATATATATATATATATATATATATATATATATATATATATANATATATATATATATATATATACTTTATAGTTATTTTAAGTGCTATTGTCTTCCCCACACTCAATATGATTTTTTTTTAAGTCTTAATGTGTTAATATCATGTTTAAAAGCATAATGCATGCATAAATCAACAAAAAAAAAATTCAAAACAAAATATTTAAAAATGAGGCTCTCAAAACTGCATTTTTTCTTAAATTGGACAGCAAATTATTTTAATCTTTTTTTAATGTAAACGAATGTATCAAAAAAAACTTGCCAACTTTTAATAAATGAACTGCATTATTTCATTTTTTCTGTACGATTGCATACTTTCAGTTCTTATACTCTTAATTTAAATTTAAATCATTAAGAAAATCAATTTAGTTGTTTTAAGTGTTAAGTCAGAAGAAAAATGTGTGTATATTTTTTCCATTTTTTTTAACGAAGAATTGTTGGGAAACATAATAAGATCTGAAAATAAGTGTGACATAAAAAAATGGTTCGGAAATAAATTCGAAACAAATACTATATAATCAATGCAAAATAAGATGATATAAAAAGATAAATAATATACACTTATTTAATATAATTGGCATTATTTAAGAAATAAAATATAATCATCCGTATGACGCAAGATAATCATAGTTACATTTTACAAACTTTTATTTCAGCAAATGTATGGCAACTTAAAAGGAAACAAAAAACTCAAGCAATTTCGTACTCGAATTTAAAAATGCGATAACTGAATTACGAAAAATTTTTTTTCGGAAATAAAAATATTTGAATAATAACGTGAATGTTATTTAGATTTAGCTTCACACATTAAAGTGCAATTATGAGATTTAACTTCCATTAAAGTGTACATGAGCTCCCGATTTGATGTTTAAATATAGATTTCCTTCCAACAAAATTTTATAGTGTTCATCACGAAATTCAGAGAGATATTACTTCAAAATTTATTCTGTGTGAGGTTATGATTCTTTTACTTACATAGTGCAGTTTTTTTACTAGTACATCACCATGTGACATAAATTTATTATAATTATTAATATTATTAATATTCACACTTTTTGAGTAAGGAACATCCTCTCAAAAGAAACAAAATTTTCGCTATTTTTCCGTTACTTTCTGAGCCTTTATTGCCTTGAAATTTCCAAATATGCAAAATAGATATTTAATTTAAATATAGATCGTCATTGAGAGAAAAAAAATATGGTAAAAATCCTTACATACCAATAAAATGCATCATTTTCTGTGAGATACCAAAAAGCAAGGTAATTTTGACCTATTTGAATTTATAAAAGAATTGATTTTTCAAAATATTCACAGCCTCTAACGAGGCTGAACTAATTCAGTAGCTTAAATCCGTTTAATGTTGTCCCAAAAACCTAAAATGGGAGAGAGGAGATAACGGGTATGAATCCCATGTCAACCATAGATGCATCTAGAAATAAGTTATTTATATGTTGGCTTATAAGGCTTCTTTAAGTCTAAGAACTGATAGCAGAAGATATAAAAAGACACTACAAAGATATTTAAAAGGATATGGCAGGATTCGAACTTGTTGCCTATACACGATACAATGTATGCATTTTTGTAATGTTCTTTTTTAACTTGTGCTATCTGTTCTTCAACTTAACAAGCGCTCAAAATAAATCGTATTTTATAATAAAGAAGCAGACCAATATATGCATGCGTAACAATAAGCAAATAAAGTAGTGGTAGAAGTAGTTATTTATTTACGTCACACTAGAGTTGCACAATGGACTACTGGCGACGCGGTCTGGTTAACATCTCTAAGGATGATCCAAAGATATGCCATTTCGATTTTGATACTCTGCATAGCGGATAACTTCCCCGTTTTGGTAGCCAAGTGACCTGATCGCGAAGTCGAGCACTACGCGGTAGAATAGTTTAACAAGAACCAATACCGTGCACCTTCGGTCCCTATGCAGGCTAATCAAAGTGGTTACCCACCTACTCACTGACCACAATCAGTGATACTTGACTTCTTTGTTTTACGAGGAACCGCATCTTTTCAATCAGTTTAATTAAAATACAAACAGATAAAGAAACTCTCAAGTGGAGACTTTTATTATCATTTTTATTAACAGGGGCCTCTTTGCAATCTCGCCATTCCACCAAACGCTATGTACCAGACTAAACAGAAGTACCAGATTTGTATCAAATAGTAGCAACTGCATATGTAGCAACAACTAAATAAATTTGGTTTTTAAATATACACAGGCCCCGATGCTTAATGTAAGGAATTACCTGTCTTGCAAGACACAGACAAGTCTGTGTCTTGCAAACTGTAAACGCATGGGAAAGGGAACTGGTTATAGAGCTATGTCTACCTTACTTAAGTTCAGTAATGCAAGGTAACCATAGATAGTAAATCTGACACGTCATGATGCTGAAGCATCTTTCTTCTTATAGGGAAAGGGGACAGCTGGAATGCATACCAAGACATCACTGCTACTTTTTGCTCATTGAGTGATTGTCTTACTCAGCAGACTGTGCAGGATATGTTGAAACTATTGGAGATGTTTATTGTTTTGCTACATAAGTAGTTTTGATGCAAGACAACAAATAATTATAATAAAACATAGATCCATTGACAAACTGCCTCTTTCGCAACGTGTTTTTTTTTCAGCATACAAGGAGAGCTGTCTGTCAGGCTGGCTACTGATAGTCCCAACGATAGCAAAATCTGATTTAAATAAACATTACATATATTATTAAAAATATCATACATCAATGAAATTATACATAATAGTTTTAATGTAACAATACTCTTATTAACAAGAAATCATAATGATTGAGAAGTTAAAGCAGCGGTCAGTGAGCGAAGGGAGCAGGTTACAGGTATTGATGAAAAGAGAAAACTCCAATACACAAAATATCTAATTTTCGCCATTTATTTAATTGATGTGATTCATAATTGCCAAATAAAAATTTTAAAAAGAGCACATGAAAAGATTTCGAACTTAGCCATTTTCATTATTAGATAAATCATAAATTTCCCCAATCGAAATTTAAAGTTTCATATGTGTGATATATGTCGACCGAAAAGCACTGAAAATTGGCAAAAGTAAAAGAAAGGAAGTGAATATAAGGAAACAAATATTTCCTGTTACTGAGAGAACATTATTATAACAAAAATTTCCCCTGCTTCATTTTACGACAGGAGAAAATTTTTGCACTTATTCTTTTTGAATTAAAATAATATTTCTAAAGAAATAAAATTCCTATGCCATGCCATTAAATTATGAAATAGCAAAATATACGTATATGTTCGCTCTATTTTTTTTTTCTCAATAGAAATCAAATTCCGCAAAATTCGCTTACATTTTGAAGATTTTTTTAAAACACTAAAAACTTATTACTACACTTTTTTAAAATATAATCAATATGCATAGTTATTTTAACAAAACTTTAACAAAAATATCAAATTGAGTTTTATGAAATTTCCAAATTTATTCATTATAAAGATAAAATTTTATATGAATCCAGATTGTTTCGAAAAAATAAATCTCAATGTGAAATGTACCATGAAAATTTGAAAAACTAATCTAGTGTCTCGAAATAATTTACTTATCTAAAGAGGATATAAGTAAGCCGTTTTAATAAATCATTAATGCAAAAAACATTTCTTTTAGGCATGGTTACATCAAATTAAACCATGTCATATTTAATTCACATTTTTCGAAACCATTTATTAATGAATCCTTGCATCTCCAGCATATTAAAGAAGAATGAAGAATATGCACTTATTTCGTATTATTTAATTTTTTCTCTGAATTAATTATTTTATGGTATATTAGTTCGTTCAGAATTTCATCAAAACAATATGAAAAATATTTCAATTTTTTTGCAATCTGCTGTTTACTTTTAATTAAAATATTTTTGTTAAATATATATATGTCAGAAAAGCCTCTGAATATACAAAATAAATTCTTTCGTTAAGCACATAACTTAATTAAAAATAATCAAAGTTTCTTGTTTCAGTCTTATGAAACATGATTTTATGTTTAAAATTTGAAAATAAAGAATTGAAAATGAGTAAGCTTATCTTACCTAACTGTCTTGATATTAAATAAACAATCAAAAGAAATTTGAGATTCCATTTCTCTCAATAAA